TTGCCCTCCCAGCCCAGCCCCTGCGGCATGATGGAACCACATGGGCGCACACCCCTCCATCCCCCTGAACCCCACCCCCTTGCCTCCCGCGCCCCCCCCGCCCCCCGCAGGCGGCGACATGCCCGCCCAGCCGCGGCGCCAGCGCAAGCTCGCCACCGACTTTGTGCCCTTTGACGGGCAGCTGGTGGAGCGGCACACCACGCCCAGCGGCGCCGAGTACTTTCGCATCACGCTGGGCACTGCGGGCGGGGCGGCCACAGAAGTGGATGACCCCTCCACAGTCATAGACGCAGAGTTCCTGTTCCTGGAAGGTGGGCGCCCGCCGGGGGCCGCACAGCACGCCTGGCTGGCTGGTGGCCGGCGCGGCGGCTTGCCTGCGGCTGGGGTGCGGCAGTGGCTGCCTGCCTGCCTGGCGGCACGGCCCTTTGCGCGGCCGCTTGCCGGCAGCCGTGGATCTGCTGTGTGTGGCTGTGATGCGCTGCGGCTGCGGCGTGCATGGTGTGCGGCCGGGAGGCGCGTCGCTGCGGGCGGCGGCCTGCACACGGTGCCGTGCTCCCTGGCCCGCCACCCTGCAGGCGACAACATTGTGAACGTGCGGGCGGCGTCGCGGGTGGAGCCGGAGGGCAAGCTGGGGTCGGGCGGCCAGCTGGCCATCTCGTTCCGCGAGGGGCTGGTGGTGGACAAGTGAGGGCCGCCGCCGGCGCCGCCCGCGCCGCCAGCCGGCAGCGCCTCGTGCTTCGTGCGCCTGCTGTGCCGGTGGCAACCTGTTGGTAGCCAGCAGGCTGACTGACCAAGGCAGTCGAGCTGTGCAGCTGCGTGTGTTCCGATGATGCACTGCTTTCACCCGGCTGCCGCTGCACACAGGAACGTGGCGCGGCGCCAGATGGAGCGCCTGCGGGCGGCGCTGAACTGGGAGCTCACGCCCGTCATTGCGGGTGAGGGGCCGCGCATTCCGCACGCGGCCGGTGTGGATCTGCTGCTGTGAAGCTGACATCAGGCAGCAACCTGCCGCGGACGTGATTGTTGCATGCCGCAAGCATGCCTCGCTGACCGCTCCCTTGCCCCGTCCTCCTTGCCGCAGACTTCTCACCGGCCTTCAACTCTGGTGGGCAGCCCTTCACCATGCACTTGAGAATGTGCAGTTTGACCAGCAGAGGCTTGAATGCAGATGCTGCCTGGCCACCAGGCACGTGGGTGGCCAGTCGAGTGCCAGTTCTGTGCGCCCCCTCCCATCCCATGGTGTGCAGAGGCCCCCGTCTTTTTCGAGAAGCTGTTCGACCCCTTCAACCGCCGCAACGACTTTGAGCCATCGGGCGTGTCATACCCAGAGGAGGGCGGCAAGTAGGATGAGCGCAGCCCGCCACTGCCGCCCCGAGAGACGACCGCTTGTTGAATGCACATTGCTGCCAGATCTCATTCCAATCTGAATTGATCTCCGAGTGCATTGCTGAGCACAGCTGCAAGATTGACTTGGTTTTTTTTCCCGCCCCCTACACTCCAGCCTGCATTTTCAGCACCAGACCTCTTTGACACTGCTGCCCACCCTCATCTCTCCCTCCTCTCCGCCCTTCCCCAGCTCTGTTTCTGCGCCCTGCCAGCTCCGTTTGTCCTGAGCACTGCGAGTGTGATGCGTTACACACCACTAGGGTGGCAAGCGGCGGGCGGCCTCGGGCCCAGCCGACGCGCCGCCGCCGCTGCCCACGCTGCTGCTGCTCAGAACTTCATCAGGTGCGGCCGGTCGCCGGCGCGCAGCGTGAAGCGGGTGGACAGGTAGCCCTTGAGGTCATCGCTGCACGAGGCGGGGAGAGGTGGCGCGCAGAAGAGGGGTGAGACGCACATGCACATGAGGCACAGCCACAGCAAAAGCCCCACTCCTGCGGGAGACTCTCTTAACCCCCACGGCCGGCAACGCCAGCGAGCAGGTATCGCCGGGCAGCCGCCTCCCGTTCCACACACGCGTGCACTCAACAACCACCAGCCACCACCACCAGCCACACACACACATGCACACACGCACACGCACGCCACGCACCTCAGCTTGCCCAGCAGCGCCGCGTCGGCCGCCTTCTGGTTGGCCACATACTCGGCCGGCAGCGGCGCCTTCTCGGCCGCCTCCGCAAAGAAGCCCTCCTCGCTCTGCTTGCGCCCCTTCTTCTCCGCGCTCTTGAAGTAGGCGTCGTCAAACTTGGCCGTGTCCACGCCGCTCACATCCACCTGGGGCCAAGGGATGAAAGCGGGGAGGGGAGGGGAGAGGCGCAGGGCCGGGTGAGCAGCGGCAGGCTACACGTGAAGAGGGGCAGCCCGGGGGCGGGGGAGCAACAGCAGAAGGCGCCAGGGGCGGCGGGCGCTGGCTGCTGTCTGCATGGCTGCTGCGCCGCAGCGCCGGCTGGCCGCCAGCGAGCCGCGCTGTGGGCTTGGTATGCCGGCTGCGGCTGCTCCTCGCTGCCAACGCATGTGCAGCGGAGGAGCTGGCCACGCGGTTGTGGGCTCCCTTCCCGCAGCGCTGCTGCTCTCCATGCCATCCCCTGCTGCGCTCCACGCCGCGCCAGCTGGCCAGCTCCGCTGCTGCTCCACGGCTGCCGTCCCGCGCCTCCCCCGCTGCCGCTGCTGGCTGCCGCTGCGCGCCTGCCGCTGGTGCAGCAGCGCAGCGCAGGCGGCAGCGAGGCAGCGGCCAGTCCAACGACACAAGTGCCAGCAGCAGCAGCAGCGGCGGCGGCGGCAGGAGCGGCAGGAGCGGGCAGATGCCCCGCAGGCAGACCGGGGGCGGACCTTGGTGGAGGTGGCGATGACGTAGGCCTGGTTGACGCGGCGCAGCGGCACGCCGTTGAGCTTGAAGGGCCCGGTGACCAGCAGCAGGCCGCTGGGCAGCTGCCCCAGGAACACCACGCGCTTGCCCTTGAACCGGCCGGCCAGCAGGATGAGGACCGTGCCCGGGGTGATGGAGGGGCGCAGCTTGGCGGGGCGGCGGATCACGCGGCGGGCCAGCGGCACCGGCGCATCCTCTGCGGCACGACGGCGGGGCGGGGCGGGGCGGGCGGTGGGCGAGGCTGGCCGCAGGGCGACGGCAGCGGCAGAGGCAGGCAGCAGAGGGGCCTGCGGCTGGGGAGAGTGTTGCTGCTGCGCCACGGCCCGTAAAGCTCCGGGCCACCGCCGGCGGGCCAAGGTGCCCGCATCGGGTGCTGCCAGCCGCACGCCACACTCGCTGCTGCAGCCTGTGCCTGGCGTGACTCGTGCTGCCACCGCCATCCCAGTGCTGGAGAATCGGATGCCCCTGCCCTGCGCTGCGCTGATGCCAGCCCATTCTGCCCCAGCGCCCAACATGCGCTTCTGCCTGGCTGGGTGCCGCACCGCGCCGCTTGCCCACATGCCGAATCGCTGCGCCCATCCGAAAACCATGCACTACGAGGGCATGCTGCAGGCGGCTGCCCTGCCACGCTGCACAGCGGCGCACACAAGAGGCAGCAGCAGCAGCAGCGCCGCGCATACGCAGCCAGCGGGGCGCACCTGCTGCGTAGAACTTGGCAGGCTTGGTGGAGGCCTCAGCGGGCGCCGCCGCCTTCTTGGCGTGGGTGGGGAACTTGCCGCCGTTCTTCTTCTTAATGGCCCACAGGCCGCTGCAGGCAGGCAGGCATGGCGCAGGCCAGGAATGTCAGGCCCTGCTGCGCAGAGCCTGGCAAGGCTGCCTTTGCCGCTGCCCGACACCGGCCGCGCCATCAGGCTGCAGGCCGCTCTGCTGCCTGCGGCTCGTCCCCCGACGACTCTCTGGGCCTTCAGCCAGCCGCTAGCACGCTCAGCTGCGGCGCTGCAGCCGCCCAGCTGTGCGATGCCCGGCACATGGCCCGGCCAGCGCCTCAGCGCCTGCTGCGAGCGGCCTACGGCTGACAGGTGATTCCGTGCACGTCTGGGCCCTGAGGGCGCCCCCAGCCCACCCTTCTGCATGCTGCTGATTGGCTGCATGGCACCTGGAGGCTGCATGGCTGCCCTGACCGCCCCACATCCATCCAACAGGCAGCCTGCGGCGCTTCTCACCGGCGATGGTAGCTCTTGGAGCGGCCCTCGCGGACCACGCCCCGGGCCACCTCCTTGGCCATTTCTAGCGTCCCTCGCCGTCTACAGGAGGGTGCCTCAGCGAAGATTCGCTGAGCAGAGAGGCGGGGGCAGGCTGCAGGCGCCCCTTTCGCTCCCGCCGAGCGCTGCCAGCGGGGCAGACGCCCCCTCAAGACCCTGGCACCTCCTCAAACTTGCAGCCAGGCTCCCGATCGCACGGTATTAGAACTCCAAGTGCATACGAGACCTTCAGTAACTTGCAGGGAGCGGCGCTGGGGGTGTGGAGCACAGTGGGGAGCTCGCCAACAGGCCATGACCCACATGCGGACGCTTAGACAGCCGTTGCCATCCGGGAATGGTGCGTGAGACTTTTAGTGCTGCTGCAGCGTCGGCAGAGGCGCGGTCAGGGCCGCCAGCAGCATCCTCCTGCTTGTCAGCGGCACAGGCAGCGGCGGCACGAGGCAGCGGCGCCGCAGGCTCCTGCCTGATTTCCGAACTCTCCTACAGTCTCTATAAGGGGAATTCAAGCACATCGTGCCAGTTACATTTCATGATCCCTGCACGCGAACGAGGCAGGCAGGAAGTGGTCAAGTGCAGATGCGCTGCGTGTTTGCCTCTGCCCCGTTGGCACTCAGGGCAATGCCTGTGTAGAAGGGCATCTGAGCCAGATGGCCATGAATGATGCAGCACAGAACATGTAGGAGGCAGCAAAGCTTTCCAGGCATCATTGCTTCCTCAGAACTTCGACCGCAGGCAGCGACGGGCACAGCTCAGCAGGTGCTCGGAATCGCTGCAAATGCACGTGCACTCATTGACCGACTAATTAAGCTCCAGTGCTGGCTATATTGACCACAATTATCAGGACAGGGCCTGAAGAGCCACCTAGCATCAACAGACGTGACACGGTGCCACCATCAGTGATTGGTCGGCGGCGGCAAAGCGCAGCGGGCTGACGCCGCGGCATGGGCTTCAATAGCGGCACATGATTGGAACTGGCGTCTAGACGCGCTGTCTCATAGCATCAGCCCCTCCTTGTTCAACTCCACCCATTGTCATCACCTTGCGTGCCAGCGGCCCCCACGAATAGCGGCCTTGCTCCCCTGGCTGTTTGTGACGGCTAGGGAGCTTGGATCGCGTCGCAGAGCCGCCTCTGCCTCCAGTCCACGCCGCTGACAGCTCGGCGGCCCTTACTGGCAGTCAGAAGCGCAGGCAGCATGGTGAAGGCACAGTGCGCCACGGCCAGGGCGGGGTGGGCCATCCGGGGGCCCTCCCGGCGGGCCGCCCCACCCGCCGCCGCCGCCACGCTGCCGGCCCGCCGCGCAGCGCGGCTCGCGCCGCGCTGCGCGGCGGCGGCCGAGGCCGCGGCCCCGGCACCGCCGGCGGCAGCGGTGCCGGCGGGCCCGGCCACGGCAGGGGTGCAGCCCTACCCGGACCCTTTCCCCGGCCTGCAGCCGGGCGACGACCTGCCAGATGAGTATGGGCACCCGGGGCCCAACCCGCCCAAGCATCGGCGGGCGGGCGTGGTGCTGCACCCGACCTCGCTGCCCGGCAAATTTGGGATGGGCGAGATCGGGGCGGAGGCCTTCCGGTTCGTGGACTGGCTGGCAGACACCGGCATGCAGCTGTGGCAGGTGCGGGGCGCCGCGCATGCCTGCTCGCTGCCCACCCGACAACCACCTCTGCCTGCCCGGCGCGTGCATCCTGTGCGCCGCCATCGTTACCTCTCCCACCCTTGCATTGTCCACCTAGGTTTAACCCTGCAATGCCTACCCACCACACACACACACACACACACATGCATGCCGCTCCTGACGCGTCCCCTCCCTGGGCCCTGGCCCCTGCAGCTGCTGCCGCTGGTGCCCCCCGAGAACACCTACTGGTCCCCATACTCCGGCCTGGACGGCCTGTGCGGCAACACGCTGCTGCTGCCGGTGGAGGAGTTGGTGCAGATGGGGCTGCTGGAGGGCGGGGAGCTGCCCGCGCCGCAGCCCGTGGAGCTGCACGCCGACTTTGCGGCGGTGGCGGAGTGGAAGCTGCCGCTGCTGGACAGGGCGGCGCAGCGGCTGCTGCACGGGGAGGCGTTTGGGGGGCTGCGGGACGAGATGCGGGCGTTCCGCGCAGACAACGCCTGGGTGGAGGCGTCGGCGCTGTTCAGGTGTGGCGCTGCTGCCTGCTGGGAGGCTCACGCCGAAAAAGCATGGCAGCCGCTGTGATGCGCGACGGGCAGCGGCCTGCCTGCCGCCCGGCTTGCTCCACGCTGGGCCGATCGCCGCAGCCCGCTCCTGACGGCTTTCTGCCTGCGTGTCTCCTTGCCTGCCTGCCCGCACCCCTGCGCGTGCAGCGTGCTGACGGAGCAGCCGGGCCTGGTGGGCGAGGCGTGGTGGGACTGGCCAGCAGATGTGAGGGACCGAGACCCAGATGCACTGGCCAAGTGAGCTGGCTGTCCCCGGCCCAGCCTGCCTGCCACCTCTGATCGGCTGCCTGCTGCCCCTCTGCCCACCGCCAGCGCCGCCACACCGGGCTGCTGCAGCCTGGCGCATGCCATGCGGGCGGAGCATGTGCGTATGCCGCTGCCCGGCTCGCCCGGCGCTGCCAGGCTCATTGCGCGTCTTGGCGTCCTCACTCCCCTGCCTGCCTGCCTGCTGCCTGCCTGCGTGGCCGGCTGCTGCGCAGGGTGCGGGGAGAGAATGCGGATCGCATCGATTCCTTCATCGCCCTGCAGTTCCTGTTCGACCGCTTCTGGAAGGAGCTCAAGGTGGGTGGGGCCCCAACAACCTGCTCCCTACGCAAGGAGGGGTGGCTGGCGGGAAGGGCGGCGGGCTGCTGGGCAGCAGAGGTGGCGTGTGCAGCTGCGGCGGTGGGGTGGCTCCGTCGTGCTGCGACCGCCGCCGCTCCCCTGCGCCGCCCTGCCTCCAGGCGTATGCCAACTCTCGTGGCGTGGGCCTGGTGGGGGACATGCCCATCTATGTGGGCGGGCAGAGCGCCGACGTGTGGGCCCACCGCGACCTGTTTGAGCTGCTGCCAGACGGCAAGCCCGCGCTGGTCAGGTGGGTGGGTGGGGATGGAGGGTTTATGTGTGTGGTGCGTGCCCTGCTGGATCACCTGTCGATGCAGGCCTGGGCAGGCGGCCACGATACCTCCACCCAGCCACACGCCTGGCTGCAGCACTTACCCTCGCTGCTGCTTTCTTTCCCTGCCTCCACCCCTGCCTCCCACGTGCCTGGCCCCTGCAGCGGCGTGCCCCCCGACGCCTTCAGCGAGACGGGGCAGCTGTGGGGCAGCCCGCTGTACGACTGGAAGGCGCACGCGGCGGAGGACTTTGCCTGGTGGCGCCAGCGCATCTCGCGGAGCATGCAGGTGCGTGTGTGGAGGGAGCGGTGTGTGTGTACGAAGGTGGTGGTGTGGTGGTGGTGGTGGTGGCCCACGTGTGTGTAGGCAGGTAGGCATGCATGCTGCCGAGGCGGCAGCTGCACTGCCCATGGTACCGATCCTGATCATGGTACTGCCTGCATGCCATACTGCCCATGGTACCGCCTGCCTGCAGCTGTACGACGAGACCCGCATCGACCACTTCCGCGCCTTTGCCGGCTACTGGGCTGTGGCCGCAGACGCAGAGACAGGTGGGGCTGCATGCCGGCACGAGGCCCTGTCCACCGCCGCCGCCGCGGCTGGCATTCATGCCTGGGGGTGCTCGCTCGGCTCCCGGCCCTCCCTGCTTCACGCTCCACACCTCTCTCTGCTCAGCCCTGCTGCTGGGCCTCGCCACCATCTCCCCGCGGCCTCCACCTCCACCTCACTCCTCCTCCTCCTCCCCCTCCTCCTCCCTCCCCGCCCTGTGGCCCCGCAGCCATGGTGGGTACCTGGAAGAAGGGGCCCGGGGCGGCGCTGTTTGAGTCCCTGGAGGCGGCGCTGGGTTCTGTGCCCATCCTGGCTGAGGACCTGGGTGTGATCACCCCAGACGTGGTGGCGCTGCGCCAGGCCATCGGCGCCCCGGGCATGGTGGTGCTGCAGTTTGCGTGGGGCGGCGGCCCCACCAACACCCACCTCATGCACAACATCTACGAAAACTGCTTTGTGTACCCGGGTGGGTGGGTGGGTGGGGGGAGGAGGGGTGGGGCAGCTGGGTGATGGGTGCGTGGCTGGTCGGGTAGTGCGTGGTGCTGTGCTTGTGTGCTTGGGCATGGATGCCTCTGCAGTGCAGGCATGCGGCTGCCCCGGCACAGCATCTGCGGCCCGCCAAGCCCCTGGTGTGGGGTGCGCTGCCCAGCTGCGCGCGTCCCACCGCCGCCGCTGCCCCCACCCTCAATGTGCGCTGCAGGCACGCACGACAACCAGACGGCGGTGGGGTGGTGGAAGCACGGCGCGCAGCCCGAGGAGAAGGCGCTGATTCGGCGGTACACCGGGTGAGTGAGGCGGCTGAGGCTGTGGCAGGGCAGGGCGGGGCAGGGCAGGGCAGGGAGGTAACCCCCGGGCCGCTTGCATTGGGCAGGCAGGCCCGAATCCAGGCGGTGTGCTGTGCTGTCGTGTCAGCTGTGCTGTGTGCGTCCTTTCCTCCTGGTGTCTGCCACCCAGCGCGCAGCTGCTGTCTGCCCCCACCCCCACCCACCCCCGCCGTCGTACCGCAGCATGACCGACGACGACGTGGCATACTGCTTCATCCGCGAGAGCCTGCGCTCCTGCGCGCACACCGCCGTCATCACCATGCAGGTCGGCCAAGGCTGCCGCTAGCGCCCATGCCTGCCAGCCGCGACGGCCGAGCTCCCTGCCCTCGGCCTGCATCACCGAACAAACAGCACCAACGACCACCCCTGCCTCACACCCCTCCAACCTTCCACCTGCGCCCTCTTCTGCATCTGCATGCCACCCATCCCAACCCCTGCCGCCCTCCCTGCACCAACCTGGCTGCACCCCGCCACCCGCCGCCACCCCCGCAGGACATCATGCGCCTGGACGACACCGCCCGCATGAACACGCCCGGCCGCGCAGAGGGCAACTGGTCGTGGCGGGTGGGCGGCAGCGACATCTGGCGCCAGCTGCACGATGAGCAGGGGGCGCTCAAGGGCATGATTGCGATGTACGACCGCGCGCCGCCCGGCGGCGTCCGCGGCCCGCCCGCCACCGGCCGCTCCGGCTCCGCCTCCTTCAGCTGAGGCGGCCTGCCCAGGCCGCCCATTGACACCTTCTACTGTTACCCGCAGCAGCCGCATTTGACGATTCTTTCCATTCCGGTACTAGCGCTAGCGCCTTGGTATGTGTGAAGTGTGGGGCTGCCCCGGCGCAGGGCGCGCCAGGCTGGCCCTGCCGTGTGGGCCGCCCATATGTTGTTGCTTCTTCCCTTCTTTGAACTGCTGCACACATTGTTTAGTGTCGATAAGCTGCACACACCCCTAAATCTTATCTTTCGGTCTCTCTGGTTGTAAAACGTCGAGTTGGCGGCGCCGGCACCCAGCGTGGCGGTCAGCAGGTGGTTGCCGGTGGTGGTGACAGGGCCAGATGGTCACAGGGCCATGCGTGCGTCGTTTTGTGCCTCCTCGACCTCTTTCGGACGGCTACAGCGCTCTCAGTGGTACAGCAGCGGAGCCCGCCGGGAAGGGCAGTGTGTGTTTGCGCCGGTGGCGATGTCGCGTATCCTTAATGCCTCGCAGTATGACAAGGCATACAGCCCACACAAGCTTGGCAATTGGGAGCAGCCCGATAAGAGCAAGGTGGGCATCGATGTGTGCAATGGCGTGCTGGGTTCTGTGAGGGAAGCGTGGGAACGCTCCCCGTGGCTGAAATGGCCAATCCCGGGGCATAATTAGCGTGCTGCGGCTTGCTTCCCCTCACCTGGTCAAAGCTGTCGGGGAGCCCCCGCCCCCCGCCAACAGGTGGTGAAGGCCGCCACTGGGGGAGCAGCGCCGCACAAGACCGCTGACGGCCGCACCATCCCCATCGTGAACGAGTACGGCCACATCATCGCAAGCGCAAAGAAGGCGGCGGCGTTCGTCACGCAGCCGGCGGTGTGGCAGCAGTCGGCGGCGCGGTGGCCGGAGCGCAACCCCACCATCAAGGGCACCCCAGCTTCCACCATGGGCTACAAGGCAAGTGTGGACTCCACCCTCGGGACCAGACAGCACTCAAGAAGCTGCCCATGGGGCTGAGAGCTCGCCGTGCAGCTTCCGCCGCGCTGCTCCTGCCGACCCGCGCCCCGCGCCCCGCGCCCCGCACCCCGCGCCGCCGCAGGGCATCCAGACCGGCTACCTGCCCACCAGCACGGTCAGCCTGAAGGCAGTGGAGATCGAGGGGTGCAAGGAGTTCAACTATGCGGGCGGCCCGCACTGAGCTGGCCGGTGTTGAGCTGGCCCGCACTAAGCTGCTGCACGCGCCGCAACAATGCCACCGATGCTGATTCCACCATGGCGTGCCGATTTGATGTGTTACAGAGCGGAGAGGAGTGTGGGCTGCTGAAAGCAGGAGTGTAAGAACAGAGCAGAGCAGAGCAGGGAGCGACGAGCAGGCAGTGCGGTGGAGCGAGGGCGGGCCGGAGGCAGAGAGGGAGCACAAAGAGAAGGAGGGAGGGCAGAGGGCGGAGCGCGGCGGGCGGCCTCACTCGCCCAGCTCCTCCAGCAGCGCCTCCAGCTCATCCGTGGCCTTCCCCTTGGGCTGCTCCTGCTGCTGCTGCGGCGGCGGCGGCTGCGGCGGCGGGGCAGGCGCCACCACATCCACATCCATCTTCTGCGGCCCAGCCCCCGCCTCCTCCGCCGCCTTGCTGCCGTTGCGCTTGCCGTCGCCCCGGTCGCGGCTGCGGCTGCGCCGCCGCTCCTCCCTGTCCCGCCGGCTGTGCTTGTGGTGCTTGCGCTCCTTGTGGCCGCGGTGCCCCCGCTCGCGGCTGCGGCTGCGGTCGCGCCGCTTGCGCTCGCGGCTGCGGCTGCGCTTGCGGTCGCCGCGCCCG